TAAGCATTTAACACGTATGTATTAACATGCCTGATCTCTTCATTTCAAAGAAGTGTGGCTTTTTTTTTTTTTAAGTACAAATCCCAGCCTGTACAACATAGTGGACTTTGTCTCTACCAGAAATAAAAATTTTAAAAATTAACCATACGTGGTGGCATGCACCTGTAGTCCCAGCTACTCAGGGAGTTGAGGTGGGAGGATCTTGTGAGCCCTGGAGGTTGAGGCTGCAGTGCACCATGATTGCACAACTGCACTCCAGCCTGGGTGACAGAGATTAATTTCTCTCCATTGTTATTGTTGTTGATTTGAGTTGGTGCATTTGTCATTGTTGCCCAGGGATAGCTCTGAAATCTTTAATTTATAGATGGGTTTTGACTGTGAGCAAGTAGACTTGGAGGCCTGACAGTTTCCTGCCAGTAATTCTTGTTTCTGAAGGCATGTCATTGCTGAGTCCTTACACATCCACCCTGCTTTCCAGCAACTGTGGGGATTTTCTTTTTCTAAATTAGCTCAATTACTTCACCTCCTGATACTTGATAAGCAGTTGACCTCTGATTTCATTTAAGTTTGTGAATCTCTGTACAGTGAAATTCTAGGAGAAAAGAGGTAGGTACAGTTAACTGTCAAACGTAAAGAAAGATAAGGCAACCCCCTACTCCTAAACTCTCAGGACAAATTTATTAGTGAAATTGTGGCACATCCTAAAATAACAGGAATTACTTATAAAGTATTTTTCTATTTGCTTCAGACCTTGAGATGTCTTGTCACAGATTTTCTCAGTAAAATTACTTTTTAGAAACACATTTCTCTATGAACAGTGAAGAAGTATTAATTGGGAGACCATCCTATCAAAAACCATCATGGAACTTGGCTATAACTCATACTTATTTCATTTGTTATGGCCAAAATTAAAATAAAATTTAGTAGCCTCTCAAGAATTCTAAAAATGATGAGGTAGAAGAAATGGTAGGTCCCCGACAGAAGTGAGAAATCATCTCATCATTGTCCTTCCCTGGGAATTAGTTCTTTATGACATTGTAGGTTTTTCTGTGAATGATTTGGAAGGCTTTCTAAACATTAGGGTACAACATTGTATTTTCATTGTGATTCCAGCTGTTTTTAATCATTCTGGTATTCTGAAACCTGACCTAAGAAAGTCACCAGAGCATTCACATTGCTTGTTTGGGGGTAATGAGACAGAGACTGGAGGAGTGTTTTTCTTTTCTCTTTGGTTTTTCTGAACTTTCCACATTCCTTCTGGGTGCTTTTATTCTTTTACCTTCTGGATGGTTGGGGGAAAGGCTGAGCACTCCTAACAGATGAAGCATTGTGGGTTTTTCACAGCAAGTTTCATAACTGCAAGTTGATGGAGGCTGGGGTCATTCTGATAGGTCAGGGATTCTTCCCCTGGGGTCCACGGAGTCTGAGGGTCTTCTCGTAGAGAATTCCAAATCTCACTTCCTGGTGATTGTAAACATGAAGTTATGTGTGTGTTTATCTTGAGAGATGTCATGCAGGGGATTCACACCGTGACTCTGGTGCCATTCAAGCTCCTCTCGACTTCCCTGTCACCTTCTGTCTCTCCGCTGCCTCCATGCCTTTCATCTTTCATTGATACCCAATTCAGAGCAGGATAACTCATCCTGCTCTTCAGTAGGAAACCTGGTGTTATTTGGAAACTCCCTTTAAAATAGACAAAAAATATGGTCACTGGGTTTATAAATGAGGCCAAACTGGAAATGGGAACCCAAACTCATAGGGTTGGCTTGAGATTAATTAGGACTGTGCTATCGGTTTTTTCCTCTTTAACAATTTCATATAAAAAGTCAAGATGCCTTTTATTTCTTTGAAGTTTTTTTTAATTTCTTTCTCCCCATTCTCCCTTGGAAAGGGTAATACCAGAGATACAGAGGAAGATCTGGCATTTGGAGGGAGACAGTCCTATGGATGTGGTCGTGTCATCTTGTTTATTTTTATTTGTATTTATTTATGTTTTTTAGAGTCTTTCTCTGTCGCCCAGACTGGAGTGCAGTGGCGCAATCTCAGCTCACTGCAAACTCCTCCTCCCAGGTTCAAGCAATTCTTCTTCCTCAGCCTCCCGAGTAGCTGGGATTACAGGCGTGCCCCACCTTGCCTGGCTAATTTTTGTATTTTCAGTAGAGACAGGGTTTCACCACATTGGCCAGGCTAGCCTCAAACTCCTGACCTCAAGTGATCTAGTGATCTTCCTGTCTGGGACTCCTAAAGTGCTGAGATTACAAGCATGAGCCACCACACCCAGCCAGTTTTTTTTTTTTTTTCCTAATGCTGAAAGTTATTGTAAATACTGAAAAATAGTCAGCTGTGAATGGAAGAAAGTTTACTAGAATTAGTGCCAGTTTGGACACCTAACTAACAGCAACTCTATAAATATAACATAAGTACTGATGAAAGATTGAAGTCGTTCATGAGAAGAAAGGCCAAAAGATCACAGTAGGTGCAACTAAGAAAATGAATCAGCAGCATGTTATTTCTGTTCATTAAAAAACGACTTTAATACCACGATCTGCAATTAAGACTAGGTTATATCATGTTGGAGCAGTGGGAAAATCATCTAACCATGTTCAACATTGATAGAATTGCTGCTAGAATACCAGAATGTCTTGTATTCGGGACACCACGAGGCAGAAATCCACACACCAGCAGTGTCCTTCTCCTTTGGGCCTTGTCTTCTCCACACCTTGCATCTCCATTTTTCCTGGGCCAGGAATTCTCCAGAAGGGGTTCCTGCTCACGTCGTTCACCTTTGGCTCTGTTCTTGTTAAGGCTTGTTCCCATCTGTTGAGTTGCTATTTATCACATTTCAGTCTCTGGCATCAGAGACTTTGAAAAGTCAGAAAGTTCAAAAAAACATGGAAACAGAAGCTGACATCCATGTGAGTCTTGAGGCTTTGAAAACATTTATGATCATAGAAATGGGCTGTCTTAGAAAGTTCAGTTCATTATTTTCACTTTTCCTATAGTTTCCTATGTTTTCCAAGCTTAAAAATAATCTGATGTACTCCGAGATGTGTAATTTCAAGTAGTATGATTTGATCTCGTTTTCCTGAAATTACAACCTTTTTTAAAAGTAGAAAACATTAAGTTTTTATATTTTAAAATATAACGTTATATTATCTTGGAGCCAATTAATTTTTTTTCTTTTTTTTTTGTTTTTTTATCTCTGAGCCAATTAATTTTATAAGGACTATATTTCATTACAATGACATTTAGTAAGAAAATTGTATTGTTATGTAAACTCTATTTCTGTGTGGATTTATCTTCTAATTTATAAGAATAGACATGTCACAAAATGAGGTGTCCTTGTGACTTTATACATTCAACAGATAGGTGTAAGGAGGTTTTTACACAGGCACTGTAGACTCTGGGGTTATAGCAGTCATCAAGAGAGACACTGTCCCTACCCTCTTAGAGCACAAATTCTTGTATGGAAGATAGAAAATAAGAAAATGGGTATGTAATAGAATATTAGGTACTGGTAAATGCAGCAAAGAAAAACACAGCAGTGCATGAAAAGGAGTAGCTGACCACATTATTAAGAATGGGCAGTATTTCATTGTTCAGAAAGTAGCAAAATAAACAAAGGAAAAGGAATAGACAGTATGTATAGATCTCTTATTTTGTAGCAAGCACTGTTGTAAATGCTACACATACTGACTCATTTTATACTCCAACAATGTTAGGAGATAAGCATCCTCATAATAATCTTAGCATGGTCTTATTTACAAGTTCGTTAGGAAGCTAAGATAGAGAAAGTTCAGGAACTTGCCCGTTGGCAGAGCCAGGCAGGACTCATACCCAGGCTGTGTGTCTTCAAGACTGCATTTTTTTTTTTTTAATTTCCAAATCACAGAACAGTCAAATGAATAGTATTATGAACATACACACATCCTTCTCCAAGATTCACCATTTGTTAATACAGTATTTTGCTGCATTTGCTTCCTCTCTTGTAGCCCTTGTCAGTAAGTTGCAGACATGTCCATGAAGTTGCAGTTCATCCTTAAATAGGTATATGTACCTCCTAAGAACAAGGACATTCAACTATATAACATAATACAGTTATTTACCTCACTGAAGAAATGGGAGAGCAATGTAATAGCATTGTCTAATATATTACCTGTGTCCCCAGTTGTCACTCTTAGTCACTGTGTTCCACTGCTTCCATTGTCTTTTTCTCAGTGCTAATACTTACCAGAACTTGAATGTCTGTTAACACTACCAAGGGCCTTCACATTCATATCATTCTTTTTGTTTGTTTCTTTTAATTGAGACAGAATCTCTCTCTGTCACTCAGGCTGGAGTGCAGTGGCGTAATCTTGGCTCACTGCAACCTCTGCCTCCCAGGTTCAAGTGATTCTCCTGCCTCAGCCTCCTAGTGGGATTACAAGCGCCCGCCACCATGCCCAGCTAAATTTTTTTGTGTTATTAGTAGAGACAGATTTCACCATGTTGGCCAGGTTGGTCTCGAACTCCTGACCTCAGATGATCCGCCTGCCTCAGCCTCCCAAGTGCTGGGATTACAGGTGTGAGCCACCCTGCTCAGCCACACATTCATATCATTCTCATAACCATCCCTGATTCAATCCTGATGACACTGTTTTCAGAAGACACTGTTTTCTGGGAATTGTGTTCATTGTTCTTCACCTCAGAACCCCATTCTTCTTCAAGTCAATGTGGATAACCTGAAAGAGGGCCAAAAGCCAGAAGAGTGATGGGATGGCACCTTAGTCAAGGGCAAGTGTGAGATTATTTCTTCAAAGTCTTCCTTGCAATGGAGAGGGCTTGACCAAGCTGACACAGTCCATCCTATAATTTTCAGGGCACCATTTTGCACCATGAGTCAAATATTACACTTTGGATTTTGTTTAATTTTCTTGAACTGCTGACCTCAGGTGATCCACCCACCTCGGCCTCCCAAAGTGCTAGGATTACAGGCATGAGCCACTGCGCCCGGCCGGATTTTGTTTAATTTTCTACCTTGCATGCTAACGCCAAATATCAATACCATGTTTAATCCTAACTCAGAGTGCCTGTTTCTTGGAGTTGGACTTCCATCATGAAGATCACATTCATAGAAGTGTCCTTCCATATTTACCCTTGGCTTTTTGTGGTTTGACACTGTAATTCTGTACACCTGCTTATTGGCCATCACTCATCAATCTGCTTGCTGATCTCTTAGTTGGAGGTGTATTGACCCTTTGTTCTTCAATGTCACCTGGGTCTGGCTCTTGTTCTATAAAATTTCTCCAAAACAAACATCAGTGAACCGAACCACCACCTAATGTAGTATCAGATCATCTTACAGCTAAAACTTTATAAAGATACATTAATATCAACATCATCTATCCCCATCGTCTGGGGCAAGATGTTATATTGTATCCTGTTTTTCCAGAGTTTTCATTCACTGCGAAACATTTGTTAGACTGAAGAAAATGCACTGACCAGCTTTAGCAATAGGGGCTCACACTTGGGAAAGGACCAGCCCGAGAATAACCTCCTGATTTTCTAACAAACGAGGCATGGTCTCCCATTGTTTCCATTTGTATTTTTTTTTTCCATTTGATTAAAAACCTTCCAAAATGGTAAAGTGCCTAAGATTATACCTTTGGAGGACCATCCTTTCTGCAGTAATTTTCTTTTTAAATTTTCCCTTGAGTTGTACTCACTCCTCTCCAAAATGTACTTTGGGAAACGACTCAACTAGAAAGATCCTTTCACCTTTCCTTCAGGTTGTACATTGGGAGCAAGAGCTTCGTTTTTTCAGAAACTTCCTTCCCTCCCTGGAAGAGGGGTTCTTGGTGGCTGCCATGTTGGTTGTTGGTAAGGGAGTTCAGGTGCTGGGGGACACTGATAGAATTTTTTTCTGCCAGCTCTATGGAGGCCTAATTTGCATACCAGAAAATGCTCCCCTTAGAAGTGATTCGGTGATTTTGGTAAATTTGTAGAGTTGTACAGTCACTGCAGGAATCCAGTTTTTAAACATCTGTTACCCCAAGAAATTTCCATGTGTCCATCCATTCACAGTTAATCCTCTAGCCCTTTGGCAACCATCATTCTTTTTGTCTGTATAAATTTCTGTAATCTTTCAACTAAAAATTACGAAAGGGATTTTTTAATCTTTCTGTATTTTACATATAGAATAATTTTACTTATCATACTGTGTTTTTCTTAATGAAGCTGGCCCAGGCAGTGTTAACACATGACCCAGCATGTACAGACTGTGCTCACTGATGGTGACAAAGGAGCAGCTTGGGTCCCATTGTTTGTTCTCTTAAGTCAGAATATTTCTGTTTTGTGTTGACTCTACCATCTTTCTCATTGAACATTAACTAGAGGTAATTCTCGGCCTCATGTGGGTGTCCACGTAAGTTCTATCTTTCAGGAGAAGGAACCTGAAAGCTCTAATGTCTATGAGGCTTGACTACTTCCATAGCAGCTTGAATGATAACTCATTCTTTGTACGTCTACAGGTACAGCTTAAAGAAACCATTGAAGATCTTCCTGGCAAAATGGATACTGAACTAGCAGAATCAGGATCCAATTTTAGTGTGGGACAAAGACAACTGGTGTGCCTTGCCAGGGCAATTCTCAGGAAAAATAAGATATTGATTATTGATGAAGCGACGGCAAATGTGGATCCAAGGTACAAAGCCGAGGTCCATGTCATCATGAGTCCACATTTTTAGTGTGTAAATGGGAACTATGGGATGATTCTGAGAAATATTTCTAAGTGTTCCGTTTGCCCCAGAGCTAGCATTTTAACATGGATGGTTCATTCTGAAAAAACAGAGGAAGAAACCCCAACATGCTTTCCAGTGTCAGTGATACTACTCAATATCCCAGGAGAGCTGAGATCCCTAAATTCCACTCCTGATAGTCAGTTTTAAGCAAGTTGGAGGGAAGATATTTTTCATTGTTTTATGAAAATTAGTAAATTACTACATAGACTTTTTTCTTTTTTTTTGAGATGGCGTCTCTCTCTGTTGCCCAGGCTGGAGTACGGTGGCACGACCTTGGCTCACTGCAACCTCTGCCTCCTGGATAGCTCCCTGGGTAGCTCCTCCAGCCTCAGCCTCCCAAGTAGCTGAGACTACAGGCGTGTGCCACCATTCCCAGCTAATTTTTGTATTTTCAGTAGAGACAGGGTTTCACCATGTTGGTCAGGATGGTCTTGATCTCCTGACCTCGTGATCCGCCCGCCTCGGCCTCCCAAAGTGCTGGGATTATAATCATGAGCCATTGCACCCGGCCTGTGTAGACTTTGTATACTTGTTTTTAAAGAATAAGATTGCCCTAAAACATGTTAACATGATTTTTAAAACCTTGAATATAGATGATCTTTAAAGAAAAAAAACAACTCTATTGTGTAGTAGACCTTTTTAAGTCTTAAGTCTACTTTTTGCGTCTTTACTAAATTAAACTTAACTTCTTTAATTGCAGAACTGATGAGTTAATACAAAAAAAAATCCGGGAGAAGTTTGCCCACTGCACTGTGCTAACCATCGCACACAGATTGAACACCATTATTGACAGCGACAAGATAATGGTGAGTCCTTCACCTGCGGAATTCCAGTTGCTCCCAATTATGTTCACTTTTTCAGTCTATTCCCTCCTTGTAAAACTTGATAGAAACCCCTAGTCGGTTAATTTTCTGTTAATTTTAGCTCTCATTCCCAACAGTAATTCATATGCTTAACTACACCCTCAGTGCTACTAGCAATATATCCATTGTATCTCTTTGCATATGATTGTGTTGAAAGTTTACCATGAAAATATTCCAAATCTAAGATTCAGCTTGTGATGCTAACTTTCATGTTACTGAGTAGTATCAAATAGAAGAACACTGTCACAGTTGTTTCAGCATGCTCGATTCCCTTAATGAGAGATTTACGTTTTCATAGACTGTGAAGGGCTTGTTGGGTAAGGTTGCAGAACTCAGCTGTTGGGATGTTCACAAGATGTGTGTCACAGGGGAAGAGATGGGAAGATCCGTCACAAATTATTTTCAGAGAAGGCCTAGCCAGAAAAACAAATGACTCCAACGGAAAGGATTTAACATAGGAAATTTGTTACATAGGAATTGGAGGGCTTAGAAAATGAAGGGAAACAGTGATAATTTTAGGAAGCAAGGCCAGGAGCGGTGGCTCACACCTGTAATCCCAGCATTTTGGAGGGCCGAGGTGGGCAGATCACTTGAGGTCAGTAGTTCGAGACCAGCCAGGCCAACATGGTGAAAGCCCATCTCTACTAGTAATACAAATATTAGCTGGCTGTAGTGGCAGGCACCTGTAATCCCAACTACTCGGGAGGCTGAGACAGGAGAATCACTTCAACCTGGGAGGCAGAGGGTGCAGTGAGCTGAGATCACACTACTGCACTCCAGCCGGGGCAACAGAGCAAGACTCTATCGCAAAAAAAAAAAAAAAAAAAAAAAAAAAAAAAAAAAAAAAAAATTTTAAGAAGCAGCTGGTACAGATCTTCCAGAAGAGAGGCCCCAAAGAGTTCGTGCTCAGACCTCCAAAGAGGAGCCCCTGGCAGCTGCCAGTCATGTCAGTGAGGGAGCTCCATGAGGCAGGTTCCAGGTATGCTAAGAGGAGGTGGAGCCTGGAGGCCGGGACAGTGCTGGCAGGAGTAGAAGAAATCAGGAAGGAAGACCTTTGCTTGCATCCCACAGTCAGTCTGCATCTAGTGTCCACTACTGACCAGAGCCTCTAAACTGACGGCCCCAGCATCATAGATCAGAGTGTGGGAAGGTAGATCTGGGGCTGGGAGACGAGATAATTAACCAGCATGTCCCTTACACAGCAGACCCATGGCTGCACACATGGCAGTCTCCAACCTTTGGTCTCTGAATTTTTTTTTCTCTTTTTTTTTTGAGACAGAGTTTCACTCTTGTCACTCAGGCTGGAGTGCACCGGTGCCATCTCAGCTCACTGCACCCTTCACCTCCTGGCTTCAAGCAATTCTCCTGCCTCAGCCTCCCAAGTAGCTGGGATTACAGGCATGCGCCACCTAAGTTTTTATATTTTTAGTAGAGATTTTTGTATTTTTAGTAGAGATGGAGTTTCACCATGTTGGTCAGGCTTGTCTGTTTATAACTCCTGACCTGAAGTGTCTACCTGCTTCAGCCTCCCAAAGTGCTGGGATTTCAGGTGTGAGCCACTGCGCCCGGCCTGGCCTCTGAGTATTTGTCTAGTATCTTCCTTCCAGGTTTGATTGTTTCTTTCTTCCTTGGTCAATATTTCCTTCCTTATTTTATTCCTTCCTTCCTTCCCTCCCTTCTTTTTCTCTCTTCCTACTTCCTTGATAACTTGTTTGGAGATTCTGGCAGGAGAGCGCAGCTACTTGGATACCCTTGGCCAAAGACCAGTCCTCCCCTATCGGGGATGATCATCCTCTCAGGCAGATCGCGTAGCTTCCGGAGGGCCGCGCAAGGAGCGGTGAGGGAGGAAGGGGACGCCCACTAGCCAGCCAGGTCAGCCGAATCAACCCTGGCGATCAGCGGGGTGACGGATGTCGCAGCCGGATTGCTCTCACATCCATCTTTTTCTCTCTTTCTACTTCACTTTCTTCTTCTCTCTCTAGCTCTCTACCCCCATCTCTCTCTCTCCTTTTTCTTTGTGTCTTGCTCATTTTTAGTCTTAGCATGTGGCTTTATACAATGATAAGGGAAACATTTTTCAAAGGAAAAACCTTTGGCTGCAAATAAGCCCAAAGGAATTCACATTAATTTCAGGCTAACCCCCAGCCTGTGGCATTAGGCTGATTTTCTTCTATTGTGTGGATCCTAACCGTTGTCACTGTCTGCATCCAGTGATGCTCAGACTGATGACGAAGAAGGAAGTAGATTAACGAAGGCCTGCATAGTGCGTGAGAAGCAACGGATAGACTTGACACCGTGATATTGATGGTCCAAGCTAAAAGATTTGTAAATAATCTGTGATATCCACACTTCTTATGCCCAGTAATGCTGGTGCTGTCTCTTTTGACTTCTTGTGCAGTTTCTAGAATATTCTCTTTCACCCTACCTCACATGCATCATCAGATTAGTCACCAGTGGGACATTTGAGAAAATACCACCCTGTCAGCATTGAAGCAATGTCTGCAGCCTTGTCATACCCCAGAGCTGGATGTGTGCAGGGATGAGCTCTGGTGTGCTACGTAACAGGAGTGGAGGGTTCCAACCCAAAGGTTGTTTTACACTTCAAGCACTGAGGCTGGTCTGGACTGCAGCATTGCAGTGACAGGCCACTCAAGCTGACATTTTTTTTTTTTTGAGACAGAATTTTACTCTCATTGCTGGGGTACAGTGGCATGATCTCAGCTCACCACAGCCTCTGTCTCCTAGGTTCAAGTGATTCTCCTGCCTCAGCCTCCTGAGTAGCTGGGATTACAGGCATGCACCACCATGCCAGGCTAATTTTGTACTTTTAGTAGAGACAGGGTTCATCCATGTTGGTCAGGCTGGTCTCGAACTCCCAGCCTCAGGTGATCCACCCACCTCGACCCTGACAAAGTGCTGGGATTACAGGCATGAGCTACTGTACCTGGCTTGAGCTGACTTTTGTAAGTGACCACGTGACAGTCCCAAGCTAGCAGAAAAGTGACTCCTTAGATCCAGAAACATTGTTTAGCATTTAGCATCCTTAGGCCTTTGTTTGTCTTCCTGGAGTTATGTTCTTAAATGGTAAATGGAGAAATCACCTTTTTGTGAAGCAGGTCCTTTAAGAACTAGTCACGGAGGAGGACTCCCTCTGCACGGAGGATGGCAGGGATCATCCTCATGCCAACCCCCAGGAATTGGAGTCTAAACACTTCCACCCACTGTACCCCGGGCTGCACTGTTACCAATGCCTGAGTGGAGTGGGACAGAGCACACTCACATATAGCAGTTATAATATAAAGCAAGGTTATTCTTAAAGATAGACACCAAGAGACAAAAGAAGCATAGAGCTTTGGGAGCTGGTCCCCCAGGTTCAAGAAAGCCGCCCAAGGCAGATGGAATCTTGACTGTGCATGTCCCACTTGCACCACAGCTGAGGGACCCCAGAAGGCAGCCTGCTCCAGATTACCTACCTCAGAAGCAACAGGACCTACTGGGAAAAGCTTTGAGGGTCATCCTCTTCCCAGGGGAGGGAAGAGCAAAGCTCGAACTGTCTGGGGCACTTCTTCCTTAGCTGTAGATGTTACATTCCCCAGAAAGGACAGAAAGAAGACCCAGGCTGTTTTAGGCAGTTCCTTCCTATCTCAGGAAATTGCATTCCTAGCACAATCTAGGGTTGAGAACTACAAGGAAGAACTTGGGTCAATCCAAGGCCACATGAGACCTGTCCTGCGCATTCGTCACTACTTTTTACCTGTCACTTTGTTGTTCTTGTCTCTAGGCATTGTATTTTACAGACTGTCCCAGAAAGCGTCCTGCTTTCACAGCAAGCAAACGCTGCTCTAATGTTTCCCTGCTTGTTGAAATACTTGGCCAGGCTTTGGATGCATTAGCAGAAAAATGACTTCATTGCCAGCTCAGTTGGGGGCCTGTTCAAAACAAAATCTTTGCTCCTAAATGTATCATATAGACTTCTTGTTGGGATTTGGTGTTACAGCATTGATGATAGCTACTCCTTTTATTATCTAAGGCTTGAAAGTGCTGTCAACTTAGAAGGTCTTCTTAGTTAGGGAGATAGCAAGCAAGGACAGAATTTGACAGACAAATCAATTGGCCCCTCCTAAATATGATCAATCAGCATCTGACCACATAAATGTCTAGTTCACAAGCATTTCCTTGACCCATCAGTGCTGTTACCATTATTGAAATGTGCCCATCAGTTTATTGCTTTATATACCAATCCCTCTAGGTAGTTTTTGAGAACCTTAATTTTTTTCTTTCTGGATTAGTATCTTTATCTAAACTCTCAACATGGTTCTACAAAGCAGTTTACAATCAGCCGCTCCCTACCTTTCTGGCCTTTCCCCACTCCATCCTCTCTCTTTCCTTTGTGGTAAAAGCCATGGTCTTTTAGTTACTGTACTTCAGTTCATCAAATACAGTATTCTACACCATGCACAATGGTGGCATATTATGGTGTGAGCAGTGAAGATGGTGCAATGGATGCATTTGGAGTAAATAGTGTAGTAAAGCAAATGGACTGTGATGGATTGAATGTGGGATTTGAGGGAAGACAGAGGGAGTCAGTGCTGGTTACTCAGTTTGAGACCTGAATATCTGGATGAATGGGGAAGACCCAGAGGAAGTAAATTTGGAGAAGGGAAAGGCGAGTGTTCTCTTGGAGGATGTGACTGTTGAGATGACCTTGCATTTCAGCATGGACCTTTCCTTCTCACTCCCAACTCCATTAATGCCTCCATCTGTGGAGATCTCTGCAGTGATATTGAGAGATCTTCCATTTAGGGCTCCCTGGCCATGGAGTCATCAGTGACACCACAGGAAGTCCTACTAGGAGGTGTACATTTAAGCAAGGAGTCTTATTACGGCTCTGAGTTCTATGTGACAACTATTTTCCAATTTTTCTTGATAGGTAATGGCAGGAT